CACTTGGTAAAGCAACCCCCATCCTTTCATGTATTTATACCTGCTCCTGTATTTTTCACTTCATACATCTGATGAAGTGGATTCTAGCCCATGAAAGCTTATGCCCAAATATATTTGTTAGTCTCTAAGGTGCCACAAGGACGCCTCATTCTTGCTGATACAGACTAACACGGCTACCACTCTGAAACTCCACTTAACTGTGTTCCCTCCCTCCATTCATGCTGCCTTGTAGAGCATGAGGCTCCATTAACAACAATGTGTTAACCCTTGAGAGCTCAGCCGAGTGCTAGTTCATCATTTAGCAGTAAGATGTTCCCTGGGAAATATCCCACCCTCTTACTCCACCACCTCAACCAAGCTTCACAATCATCATTGCTGTGCACAGTATTAAATTGTTTGTTTAAAATGTATACTGTGTATATGTGTGGCGAAAAAAATTTCCCTGGAACATAACTCCCCCTATTTACATTAATTCTTATGGGGAAATTGGATTCGCTTAACATCATTTTGCTTAAAGTACCATTTTTCAGGAACATAACTACAGTGTTAAGCAAGGAGTTACTGTACTGAAGTTAGTCTTAACAGCCTGTAATTGCAGGGATCGCCTCTGGAGCCTTTTAAAAAAAAATCAGCATTACATTAGCTATTCACCAGTCATGTGGTAGAGAGGCTGATTTAAGCAATAGGTTACATATACCACTTTTAGTCATTCTGCAGTTTCATATTTGAGTTCTTTCAGAACTCTTGTGTGAATATCATCTGGTCCTGGTGACTTATTACTGTTTAATTTATCAATTTGTTCCAAAACCACCTCTACTAACACCTCAGTCTGGGACAGTTCCCTCACATTTTTCACCTAAAAATAATGGCTCAGACATAATCTTCCTCACATCCTCTGCAATGAAGACCAATGTAAAGAATTCATTTAGCTTCTTCTCAATGGCCGTATCTTCCTTGAGTGCTCCTTTAGCACCTTAATCATCTAGTGACACCACTGACTGTTTGGCAGGTTTCCTGCTTCTGATGTACTCAAAAAACCCAAACAAACAATCTTTTGTTGTTCATTTTTGTGTCTTTTGCCAATTGCTTTTCAATTGTTTTTGGTTAGCCTACCTAATTATACTTTTACATTTGACTTCAAATTTTTAAAAGATATCTTTTTGCCTCTAATTGCCTCTTTTACTCTGTGTAGCCCTGGTGGGGTGTTTTTGGTCCTCCTACTGTTTTGTCTTGTTTTCACTTGGGGTATCCATACAATTTGAGCCTCTGTTATGGTGTTTTTAAATAGTTTCCATGCAGCTTGCAGGCATTTCACTCATGACTATTCTTTTTTAATTTCCATTTAAGTAGCCTCCTCATTTTTATGTAGATCCCCTTTCTAGAGTGAATTGTTACTGTGGTGGGTTTCTTTGGTATCCCCCCACCGCGCACAAAGATGTTAAATTTAATTACAGTATGGTCACTATTACTGAGCGGTTCAGCTATAATCACCTCTTAGTTGGAACAGATCCTGTGCTCCACTTAGGACTAAATCAGAATATGCCTCTTTCCTTGTGGGTTCCAGGACCAGCTGCTCCACGAAGCAGTCATTAATGGTATCTAGAAATTTTAACTTTTCATCCTGTCCTGAGGTGACATGTACCCAGTCAATATGGGGATAGTGGAAATCCCCATTATTATTGGATTTTCTGTTTTTTATAGTAGCCTCTCTAATCCCTTGAGCATTTCACAAATCACTATCGCCATCCTGGTCGGGTGGTCGGTAGTACATTCCTACTGCTATACACTTAGCACTCTAGCATGGAATCTATGACTTTTCTAGTAAATAAACTCTTTGTTTATTTTTATCTAAAGTAGGTCTCTGTTGTGCAAACTGTGAGGAGTTAAACTCCAGTGCATGCTGCAAGGCCCATCTTTCTTCCTTGGGCTGCAGGGAGCTGGACAAGCTGGGGACTGGAGACAGGGGGGCTCTGGAGGTGATTTTGTTAGTATGTGATCTGATTTGCACCCCACACCAGCCCTGAGAGGGTTAATGAGGGTCTGAGACACAAATTAGAATACCTGGCATCACCCCTGAGAGGGAGGGCCAGGGTTAAATAAGAGTGAAGCCCAGCGGCGGAAGGGCTGCAACAGTACTATAAAGCCAGGAGGCTGAAAGCAGAAGGGGGAATTGTAGGGGAAGGAAGCTGCCGTCACTTCCTGGGATAAGGGAGGTTGTCAGAGACAAGAAGGAAGTCCAGGGAGAGAGTAAGTCCGGTGATCCTGCCCTGGAGTAAGGAGTCTAGCAAGAAGCTAGGAGAGGGTAAGTAGCCACAGGGAGTAGAGCAGGCTCCATGGTAAACCCATAAACAGTCAAGGGACGAGAAGGAGCTCAGGGAAACAGCAATGGGGATGGGGACTGAGCAGACCTGGAGTGCTAGTTATAGGAACGCTGAGCCGGAACCTGGTGCAGCGGGTGGGCCCAGATTCACCTGCCAGTCACTGGTATAGAGGCATGAGCCCCAAACTGGGGCTAAACAGCACCCAGAAGAGGCATTTGGATAGTGGTCCTGTTGGACTTCCTAAACCCAGAAGGGCTGGACTAACTGGGGACTTGGCTGGAGGGCCAAGTTACAAGACAAGAGACTACTGCAGAGTGAGCAGAGAACAGAAGGGGGCACCTGATGCCACGAGAGTTACTTTCCCAGATCTAGACATGGGAAGGTGCACTAACAGTGAGTGGGAACCCTGTTGCATGACATTATTAAATCTTTATTATATTTATGTTCTTGTCAGGATAGTGTTATTAGTGGGTACTTAGAGTTCTGTGTAGCTCAAAAGCTTGTACCTTCCACCAACAGAAGTTGTTTCAATAAAAGATGTTACCTCACCCACCTTGTTCTCTCATATCCTGAGACCAAAACAGCTCCAACACCACCACAAATAACTTTGGAAGATATTGAATTTTGCTACTTAAAATGGAAACTTCACAACATGATGTTATGTAAAGCCTCTGCTCAAATGCAATTGTAAGATCTGTAACTTGTATCGTTAAGTTCTGCAACCTTTTTGCAGACTTTGTAACTTCAGTTATTGGTAGCATAGCCTTTTAAGTTTTGTAACCTTTGAAAGCTCTGTAACCTTTTCAAGTTACCACTTGTATGAACTTCCAAGCTTTGTAATATCCCATCCCTCAGAGAGAGTGTGAACGAGGGAGTGTATGTGGGACTGGGCGGAGAGGAGCTGCAAGGAGAAAGGAGTCCAGAGACAGGAGACAGGTGTGTCTGATATAATCTGCCCTGAGAAGGCAATCACGAAGTGCTGTAAAGAGAAGAACCTGGTATGCATGAAAGGAACTGGTCTGGGAATGCTTCTCGGTGATGGAGACAGAAGGAAAACTCAGTGTACGTGACAGGAGCTGCCCAGTTCCAGAAGAAGGAAGCAGCCATGCACACAAGCAGCTGCTGCTCCTTGACCTGCTCAGCAGCCTGGATTCGTGACTGCAGGCGGACACACCAGATCTACCACGCTTCGGCTTCTCCGTCTCCATGCTGTCTCCGGTAACTCTCCGCCTGTGTAAGTGTGTGGGTGCATGAGTGAATGTGTGTGTGTGTGTGTGTGTGCATGAATAAGCTCCATCAATGCAGTGAATGTGTGCGTGTATGAATAAGCTCCATCTCTTTTCTATCTGACCCAACAGCGGCATCGTAATAAAACTAATACAAGTGTGACCCTGGGTTGGTTTTTAGGGGAACAGAGGTAACACATGAAGAAACCCAAACCTAAAGAAGAGCTCTGTCTATGTAGCTTAGGGAAGCCACATATCTGGTTTTATACTGGGGGGTCAGCTTTTTGGCTGATTTGTCCCGTCTGGTACTGGAACAAAACTGGATATGGTTTTGTCCGGTACCTGACGGGGATCCCATTTTGAAGAGCATGCTGCTCTGTTCCTGCTGGTGGACAGGGCATGTGAGGTCATGCTGGCGGGGATGGGGTCACACAGACGGGGTAAGCTCATGCCTTTCCCAGAACTGCTGAAAAGTCCAGTATTCCAGGAATGCACAAGTAGCGACCTTGGTGTAGCTTGAAAGCTCATGCCTTCCACCAACAGAAGTTGGTCCAATAAAAGATATTACCTCACCCACCTCGTTTCTCTCGTATTGTGATAATCAGGGTCCAGACAGCCCAAGGGGAGAAGAGGGGATCTGAACTCCAAAGAATAAACAACGGAATCAACTGGTTTGTATACAGTGTTATTGTCTCTAAATGTGTCAAGTAAGGCCTTTCATGAAACCTGGTAATGTGCTGAACTTGATGGCCGTTAAGAGATATGTATACAGGTTATGGTTATGATTATAGATAGATAGGGGTGTGTGTGTGTGTAGAACATTGTAATTGTAACTAGGATGCAACTGCAGCATTGCCTTGCTGAAGTGTGGCAAAGCTATAAGGGAGGGAGGCTACCCAGGCTAGTTGTTTACATGAAACTAACTCCAAGCACCTACCATTGTACAACCTACACTGCCACTTACAGTGCTGAAACTTTCTTCGCTCACGGGTGTGAAAATACACCCCCCCGAGCGATGCAAGTTTCAGCGCTGTAAAGTGGCAGTGTAGACAGTGCACCAGCACTGGCTGTAGCTACTCCCCTCGTGGAGGTGGTTTTATTACAGCCCTGAGAGAGCTCTCTCCCAGCACTGGAGCTGCGACTACACCGCCATGTTAAAGCTCCCCTGCAGCAGCGCTTTAACATCGGCTGTGTAGACATTTCCATTTAGTTAGGGTCAGTTTTTAAAACTTTTACATTCTTCCTAGTTAAACAGTGTGTACAGAGTTATTCTGAGAGGTGAACGTGCGGTAGTGAATCCATCTGAGGGTTGTCTTTACCAGAAATATCTGTTTGTACCACCACCCAGTAAATTCATTCTGTCTATCATTCATATGTTATTAATTTGCACCAATGATTTATTGGGGGAGGTGGGGGAAGAAATAGGAACAGGGTAACATATTTAGTCTCTTACCTTATTACCTTTCATTCCATCACAGTAGCAGTGGCTTTTACCTTTGCAGACACAACTCTGAAAAGAAAAGATAGGAACTTTACAATAAAGGGAATTAATTATTTCAGTGTGCTGTCTGATGAAGGACAATTGCCTTGAAAATATTAGATCTATGTGGTATTTAAATGAAGTAAAACAATTTCTAGGTAACATATCGATATCTATACATTGCACTATGTACAACAGTCATCCTTAGCCCTTGAACATTAGCTAGTTACTCATCACAACAGATCCATGAGGCAGGTAAAGGATGCTATCCCCATTTTTATAGTTGGGAAAATTGGGGCTAAGAGCACATCACTTTCCCATGGCACAAAGGCAGTAAGTATCATGGCTGGGACTGAAATTCAAGAGTTTCTGGCTCACAGTCATGGGCTGTGACCATTCCTGGTAGATCCTTTAGAAACTGAACATAGAACCAGAGCACAAGCACCGACATTCCAAAGTGCTGGGGGGTGCTCGACCCCTGGCTCTGTCCCAGGCCCCGCCCCCACTTCACCCCTCCCTCAAGGCCCCTCCCCACCTCTTCCTGCCCTAACTCCACCCCTGCCCCGCCTCTTCCTGTCCCCACCCTGCCTCTTCCTGCCCAGTTTGGGCCCCTTCCCCAGAGTGCGCTATGTCCTCGCTCCTCCCCCTCCCCCCCAGCCTTCTGCACGCCAGGAAACAGCTGTTCGCGGCTGGTGGGAGGTGCAGGGAGGGAGGAGGCGGCACTGACCTGCAGGGCCCACCAGCAGGTGGGAGGCGATGGGGGATAGTGGAGAGCTGATAGGGGGGCTGCCGGTGGGTGCTCAGCATCCACCATTTTTCCCTGTGCATGCTCCAGTCCCAGAGCACCCACAGAGTCGGTGCCTATGAACCAAAGGAAGAGTAAGCCCCAGTCTACACTATAGAGTTAGGTCAACATAAGGCAGCTTACACTGACCTAACTCTGTAAGCATCTGCACTAAAATGCAGCTCCCACCAATGCAACTCGCACACTACACCGACTTAACTTCACCTCCACAAGAGGCATAGCTCTTAAGTCAATTAGGCTGATGCAGTGTCAGTGTAGACATTGAGTTGCTTACATTGATTGCTGCACCTTTTCAGAAGCTATCCCACAGTGCCCCACTCTGGCAGTTAAATCGGTTCAAGAGCTCCTGGTGAGGACACACATCACTGGACAAGGGGCGTAGTGTGGACATGCGAAAGCAGTTTAATTACTGTGGTGGCTGTACATCTACGTAACTTAGGTCGACTTAATTTCGTAGTGTAGACTTGCCCTGAGAGAGAGAGAGAGAGAGAGAGAGAGAGAGAGAGAGAGAGAGAGAGAGAGAGAGAGAGAGAGAGTGTGTGTGTGTGTGTGTGTGTGTGTGTGTGTGTGTGAGAGATGGGGGAAGGTGAAATATGGTTCTAGGTTACAATGGTATTTTTTTTCCCCTTTTGGCTCAATCTAGTTACAAATACTTTTTTCTGACTTCCTCATGTTGCACCTACCTACCCTCAGACCTCTGTACATCATGATAACTAAGGGCCTGATCAGTAAGTGCCGAAGCCAATTGAAAGATTTCCACTGACTTCAATGAGTGTTGAATCAGATCCAAAGTGCCCAATCACTTCTGTTGGAGAGAATATATCCAGTACCGATATAATGAATACACAGTATACATTCTGCTGCTTATAAAACACAAAATACACCTATAATTTCAGCCTTTGGTCTTCTTTAATCAACTAGGCTCTAAATACAATACACTCTACAAAAAATAGTTTTCAACCATGAATTATGGCTAGAAATTAAAACCAAAATTTATTTTTTTAAAAAGGACTGTGTTTCAAACTGGCCTAGAATAACTTGAAAACTTTAAATTCTTGTTGAGATTAGCAGGTGTGTAATAAATTATGATTGCAATCCATGGAAGCACATTTAGTCTTGGTTACGGATTGCTATTTCTGTTCATTTTAAACTCAGTTTTATAGCTATTTTTAATCTATACAAAATTGTTTTTCTACTAGAAATCACTATGAAGATCATCTCATTTTTGACAGGCACAATAAACAATATCTGCTAGATAACTGCAAAAGTAGTTTTTTATATAAGTATAATCAAAAGCAAAGGGAAGACCAGCTTAATTTTTTGTCTTATACATTTGTATGTGGACAGCAAGTATTTGGAAAATATAGAGTTATTATTGTTATGAGATAGTTACAGTGGAACAAAAGGGAACAAACAGAGAAGCAGCATATCAGAACATTTTAATGGAGAGCTTCACACTGGAGACAGGGGTGTCATAAACATACAGCTAAGGGTAGCATAAAATCCCTCCTTTATCTGTAAAAGGTTAAGAAGCTCATATAACCTAGTTGGCACCTAACCAAAAGGACCAATGAGGGGAGAAGATACTTTCAAATCTGTGGGGGCAGGTTTTTGTTTTGTCTCTCTTTGTGTTGTTCTCTCCAGGTCAGCGAGGAATCAGGGCAGGGAAAATACATCTCCCAAAGCCATATCTAAACTAAGCATCTAAGACTACAAATTGTAAGTAATAGGGAAAAATGCGTTAGATTATCTTTTGTTGTAGCTTGTAAATTTTCCCTATGCTAAGAGGGAGGTTTATTCCTGGTTTTTTGTAACTTTAAAGTTTTGCCTAGAGGGGAATCCTCTGTGTTATAAATCTTATTACCCTGTAAAATTACCTTCCATCCTGATTTTACAGAGGTGCTTCTTTTACTTTTTTCTTTACAATAAAGTTCTGCTTTTAAGAACCTGATTGGTTTTTAGTGTCCTAAAAACCCAAGGGCTGGTCTGTGCCCACTTTGTTAACCTTTTTGGTTGGTATATTATTCTCAAGCATCCCCAGAAAAGGGGATGAAGGAGCTTGGGGGGATTTGGGGAGAGAGAACAGGAACTCCAAGTGGTTATTTTCCTTAAATCTTTGTTTAACTCACTTGATGGTGGCAGCAGTACTCATCCAAGGACAAGGAAGGATTTGTGCCTTGGGGAAGTTTTAACCTAAGCTGGTAAAAATAAGCTTAGGGGGTCTTTCATGTGGGTCCCCACATCTGTATCCCAGAGTTCAGAGTGGGGAGGGAACCCTAACAGGGGGTAATTAATATTAGCAAGCACAGCATTCCAATATCATGATGATGAGTGCAAGCTGGATAAACAGATGCCTTTATTCTCCATTTGACAGCTGCTCTCTCTTCCTATGACTTTTTATTTTCTTTTTCAATTATGTTTAAGTTCCATCCAGTCAGATTTTCTTATAATTTATACTGCCTAGAATTTTAATCAATTAGGATTCATGAATTTGAGAATATCCAGGTCTAAGATTTCCACCCACGATATTCGAACTGTTCCTGAATTCCATACCACCTCAACTAACTTTAAACTACAAAAATTAAACATAAAAGTGTTTCTCATACTGCACTTCAGTCATGTTCCAAACAGGCATTACATTAAAATTACTACAGTCGGGTCTCGATTTACACAGTGGTTATGTTCTTGAAGAAACACCGTGCAAACAGAAATCGCGTAAAAAGATACCAAGAGTCTATGGGAAATAAGGGTTTAGGTTCCAGGCTCACAAGATGACCTCCCTAATATATCCAATACAGGTTTTCTTAAAAAAATGTAATGAAATTTAAACTTGCTACTGACCTTTCCTGATGTTGAGGATGAACTTGATCGGATAATAATGCTAATGTTGTTGAAGTCAGAACTCTAAGGGTTCATCTGGGGAGGCCAGGGAGTGTGGTGCAATGGCACAGACAGGATGGGACACTTGAGTGGGTGGGCAGGGGTGGGGGAGGTGAGGCAGGAGGGATTTGTACTGCCTCCCCTCACCCTCTCCAGCTGGCCATGTGGGGGGCGATGCACACTCTAGCCAAGGCTCCCCCGGGGCCCGAGGCGTGCACCCAGGGAGCGGGGGCGGGGCATGGGGGCTTGCCCGCTCCCCAGCTGGAATGCTGGGCGGGCGGAGTGGGGTAAGCACCCGTGCCCTGACTCCACTCCCCAGCTAGAATGCCGGGCGGGCAGGGCAGGGTACGCCCCCAATCCCCTCCCAGGCAGGGGCGCCAGGTGGAGCAGGGTAAGCCCCCCATCCCCCAACCCCATTCCTCGTCTGGAACACTGGGCAGGCAGAGTGGGGCAAGCCCTTGACCCCACTGTCTGGCTGGAGCATGGGGCGAGCGGGCAGAGCAGGGCAAGCACTAGGGCTGAAGCAGAGCTGGGGCTGGATGGGCCTGGATGCTAAGGGCCAGTCCCACCCGTGGCTACGGAGTGGAGTTGGTGGCAGAAGACGTGTGAAAAAAAACTGGTGATGGCCAATTGTTTGGCTTTCTTCTGCATGTCTTTGTAAATTTCCCTGTAAGGAGCCAACGCACCCTCAAGCTCTCTCTTGAATTTCAAGCTATGTTCCATGAATGGATCCTCAGCGCACACACAACAACAAAAAGGGTCTCCGAGTTCCTTGTCCAATCAAAAAGTGACTGTCCTTGTCACTGGTGCTTGACTGAATCAGCTCCTCCAGCTCTTCCTCATTGAGCTCGGTAGTGTGGGACTCCAGTAGCTCCTCTATCTCCATTGCCTGGAGATTGTCAAATCCCTGCCCTCCCACACGACAACACAGCTCTGTAATTTCTTCCACCTCACGTCACATTTCAGGAAGCCATGAAAATCATTCACTGCCTTTTGCCACAAGTTTTTCCAACTATTTTGCTACTGAAGAACAGCTAGCCAAAAACTCAAAAGGTAATAAAATGTTTTTTAAGTACATCAGAAGCAGGAAGCCTGCTAAACAATCAGTGGGGCCCCTGGATGATCGAGATACAAAAGGAACACTTAAAGATGATAAAGTCATTGCGGAGAAACTAAATGAACTCTTTGCTTCAGTCTTCAGCTGAGGATGTTAGGGAGATTCCCAAACCTGAGCCGGCTTTTGTAGGTGACAAATCTGAGGAATTGTTACAGTTTGAGGTGTCACTAGAGGAGGTTTTGGAATTAATTGATAAACTTAACAGTAACAAGTCACCGAGACCAGATG